TACATGAACCCCGTGGGGTGTGGGGTGGGGTGGGGTAGGGTGGTCTGGGGGGATCCCACCCCTGGGTCGGAGGGAAGCTCGCTGACAAATGATCCACATTCTGGCTTGAAGGAAGATTGCTGCAGCCCAGGGCTCGGTTGCAAACTGAAGGGTTGGCTTCTGCCAGGGGTTGTAACCACCAATTGCAAATACACTGGAAAGACTGGAGAAGCATATTGAAAGCATTACAGCCTGGCACAGGAGCAGGAACCCTGTCAGGAGAAATGCTCCATAAGTGCAGTGCCCAGAGCCCTGGGGGAGATTTGCATTCAAATGACTCTTTGGGGAAAAACCACTGCTATTTCCCTTCAGTGGTCCTAATTGCTGACATGGAGCATTGATGCTAGGCCACCATATGTTCAAGGCTCTGTGGGTCCTCGTGCAGCAAAGCCAGTGCCTGGGGTGGGGGCAGGGAGCAGCCGATGAAGGCCCAGCCTCAGAGCTGACCTTCCTTTGGTTAGTCGCTGTACGCAGGCTGCATTCAGTTGGATATGAGGGGGTTGCTGAAGCTTGCTCCCCTGGGGAGCGGCTCCTTGTGCAAAGCAGCCCTGGGGGGCTCGCACGATTCCTGGCACTCTGACGTGTGCTCAATGCTGTCTGTCCTGGCAGGCTGACAGCCTGGTAGCACATAGGGTGGTTCTGTAGCAGCGAGGCTGGCCTGGCTCGCTGCCAGGGAGACTGCCTGTGTGGCATGGTTGATTGCAAGCAGAGGAAAAGGCCACCCCAGAAGATGCCACAGTATGGCAGCAGCGCAGGAGCCTGCTCATGGCTGAGGTGGCAGGTGGGAGGAAGCATGGGCATTCCCTGTGGCAGCCCTTTCTGCAGGGCTCTCGTGTGTTTGCATGTGCATGCCTGCGTGCACATGTGTGAGTGTGTGCATGCATGAGTGCCACATCTGCCCTTGCTGCGTTCGCCAGACAAATAGTCAAACCCCTGTCCTTGCAGGCGAGGGGTGTTTGCCTCCTTGGCACTGACACGCATCCTGCCTACGAGGTCTTGGTGCATGCTGTCACTCATGCTGAGTGTCTGTGCAAGCACCACCCCTGCCCCAGAGCATCTCTGCTTCATGGTCTATAAATTGACATACGCAGTGGTGGTCAGTGCCCCTTTTTGAGCAAAGTGGGTGCTGGAGCCCGTGTAACAAAACTGCAGTGATGAACTCCGGGGACTGCAGGGCTTGGCTCCCTGGCAGAGCTGGAGACCTGGGTTCACACCCTGCTAGTCTTCACCCACGTTCCTTGTGTGCACGTGAGCCTCTTGTGCCCCATGTGTTACTCCCCTGACTGCTGCTCTCTGTTCCTCTTCAGGTCAGCATTGCCACCCCGAAACAGAAACCCAAGACCCCCTTCTGCTTTGGTGAGTAATGTGCGCTGTGGGAGGGGGTTTCAGAGGAAGCCAAGGCAATGAGAGCCTGCCGGGCTCCTGAGCTTCCCGTGGGAATTGCAGAGTTTCCCTTGGGAATCATACTAGGCCTATGTTACAGCCCTTGAGGCTGGGGTCCTCTGTTTGCTGGAAAGCTGCCTAGGAGGCTTTAAAATCCCCTCCCCATGCAGAAGGGCCAGCACCAAGGTGTGAAGACAGCTGAAAGCCAAGGTTGGCCCAAGGGCAGTGCCTCTCTGCAAGTGCTGCAAGATGATGCCTCTTCCATCCTGCCGGCTGTAGCACAAGGCCTGGCTCTGTGCTGCTTGGCCCTGGACAACTTTGGGGAGGCAGGAGCTGCCACAGAGAAGCAGGGGTTTCAGCAGTCTTGTGCAATGACAAATGTCTCAAGTTTCTGCTTGCAGAAATCTTGTGAGAACATTTCCTCTGACCTGACTGGCTAGCACCCAGCAGGCAGCCCGGTCCGAGAAGTCAGAGGGTGGAGGCAAGGGCCCCTGTGGTGCCAAGGGACCCCCCGGCGCAGGGGGTTGGGAGCAGCACTGCCTCTCCTTTCAGAGGCCTGGTGTCAAGGTGGTGAGTGAGGGTGCTGGTTGCAGCCCCCAGCAGCCCCACAGGACGGTAGAGCTGGTGTCCTGGTTAGATTCTAGGTTGTGATATTTCCCGGCTCACAGCATGCACCGGCTCTGTGGTTTCAGCTGGATGTGGTATTCTTCACCTCCCAGCCTGCACTCCCATGTAAGCTGCCCACTTGCAGTTGCACTGCTGCCATGCTGCACCCAGGAGTGGGTTGGGGGCTGCATCCCTGTGCCATCCCCTGCAGACTCTCCAGGGGAAAGAGCAGAAATGGCCTGGAGAGGAGCTGCTGACAGTCAGCCAGTCCTTATGTAACTGGTGTTACTCATGCAGAGCACTGACTGGGTTCCCCCTCTGCTTTGTTCCCTCCTTTGATAGTTATCAATGCCTTATCTCAGCGTTACTTCTTGCAAGCCAGTGATCAAAAAGACCTACAGGACTGGGTGGAGGCTCTGAACCGGGCCAGCAAGATTACAGTAAGTCACAGTGCCATCTCCTCTGTTGCCCTGTCCTGCCTGGCCCGTGATGGGACTGTCTGATAAAGCTTGGGGAAGTGGCTTCTTTGCCAGCCCCTCTGCTGCCCCCTCAGCATCCCTTCCTTCCCGTGCAGCTTGCTCAGCGGAGGTGGCTGGTTCTGCTGACAGAGCATGGTGCTAGAGGAAGGTGCGGAGCTGCAGTCTCGGCCGCGCTTGCTGCGGTTCACGCCGCCTGCCTCTCCTCTCCTCTCCTCTCCGGGAATTTTCTCTCAGACTTCTCGGTCTGTCTCCTTCTCTTAGTGCCGAGGCTGTGACTCACAGTCAGGAGCCCAAGGGAGAAGCTGAAGCACTGTTCTGTTCTGTGCTGGCTGCCACTCCATCCGCCAGCATCCCTTGGGATCATGGGGCAAGCAGGGGTGGGAGGGAGCTCACGAGGTCCCATCTAGTCCAGCCCCCTGCTTGAAGCAGGATCAGCCCTGCCTAAACCAGCCCAGCTCAGTGTCTGTCCAGTCTGCCCTTGAAAACTTCCAGGGCTGAAGAGTCTCGGACTTCTCTGCCTCAGTGCCTGCCCACCCTCCGAGGCCTAAGGGTCTTCTATGAGAGTGGTCAAGCACTGAAACGTGCAGATGCCTTGGTCCAGCCTCATGCTGCGCTGTGGCATAGAGCAGTTGCAATGTTTGACCTTTGGCGTCTCCTCAGCTGCCCCTGGTGCTCAGGGCCGCTCCCACGGATGTTTCTGTGGTTAGTGGGGGAGTGCACTGCCTGCCAGACGGCTGCTTGGCAAGCTTTGGTGCCTGAAGAAAGAGAAAGCCCCAAGCAAATGGGCTGACCGGAGGTTATCAAACCCCGCAGAGAGGCTTGACAGCCGGACAGGGTCAGGTTTCCAAGTGCACAGCATTACAGCTGGGGCCAGGGACCCCAAGTGCTCCGTATCTGGTACCTCCCAGGGCAGGCAGTGGTGAGAGCAGGATGCTGCATTAGCCTGAAAATGGGCCTTCAAATAGAGGGGGTTCCCTGTGGCTCTGTGCCCTTTCCCCATACTCAGATCACAAGAGACCTTCATGTTTGTTCGCAGACATTAGACAAGTAAGTGCACTTCCCCATGTGCCCTGCCACAGCTGCTGTGCACAAGAGGCATGAAGCCCTTGGGAAAAGTGACTTCTGCTGGAGCTAGCCACATCCATGGGTGTTCTGGTGCTGCTGTGCTAATGTAATTACTGCAGCCTGGGCTCTGCGTGCAACTGAGTTTTTGCCGCTGCTGTCAAAGGATTCCTTTCTTATGCTTCAATCATTTGCCTATTCAAGTTTTATCCCTTCCTGGAACATTGGGCCTCATGTGATGAGACGCAGCAAATACTTTGTCTCATGGGATTTGTCAGGGGTGTGGATTGTGACTGGACTTAAAGGGGCATGCCTCTGTGTTTTCCTCTCTTGTATTCACACTGCTGGCCCAGTGACTTCTGCTTTGCATTCTCCTTGGCTGTTTAATGTTCCTGACCATGAGAAGTTGCCTCTCCCTGGCTCTTTGATGTTGCTAATTGTTTAAGTACAGAAGCAGACCAGAGTGATGGAACCACTGGTGTGCAGCAGATCCAGCCCTCGGCTGGACGAGCTGGGTGGTAGAGCGCCTGCCTTGAGGCGTGATGTGCGAGAGCCACGTTGATCTATTGAAGAAGTCAGGGCGAGCTGTGGGATTGTGCCTGCCTACCGCTGACAGCGCTCGGTGGATGCCGCTGTCTTGGCGGGGACTGTAAATTATGCATTGAGAGGAGACGTGTTGCGCAGGCCACACTTTGATCCCTATCAAAGACTGTTTTGCTCCAGTTCTGCAACAGTCCCGGTGGGTGCTGCGTGCCCTGCCTTCTCAATGTGCCAGCACTGTACCTGTCCCCAGGCCTCCACTGCCTTACCGTTAGCTGGCGAATGCTACCTTTGCCTTCCTGTGTCTGCAGACAAACTGAGGCTGACATTGTAGGGACCTGCCCACGCAGTCAGGGGTGAGCTGCTTGGTCTCGCCTGCCGCTGTTTGTACCTGCCATTCACTTCCTGGGCGAGATCTGCCATGGGAGATCTTTTGCTTTTCAGGAGCCCTGAATGTGTGGCCCTTGTCACGGAGGTGCTTGGGGCGCAGGACAGCATGTAATGCTGCAGCATATTCTGAGAAACGCCGAAGGAGCTATGGGGAGATGCTGGCTTTCGGTAGGGCCAGGGCTGCCAGCGGCCTCTTGCTTCTGAAGCACTCCCTCTTGATGTGTGTGCTGCCGGGGCGAGGGGCTCTCCTTGATGTGGTGTTGGAGCCAGCTTACTGGAGCACTTGTTCTGCACTTCACACTTGCAGTGACTGTGTTCATTATGGCAGTGTCGGGACTGTGACCTGAGCTTGCTCCAGACCAGCCCCTGTGAGCAGGAACCCTTGCAGAGGTTCAGGTCCCCTCCCCTGACAGTCTCTTGAAGCACGTGTTGTGCAACCATTTCCTCTGCCTTGGCTGCCTCTGGCGCTAACATGCACGAGTCTCTGGCCTGTGGCCTCTCCCGCAGCGAGGGAGGAGGTGCAGACAGATGACGTCCTTCCTGCAGCACCGCTCTGGGCAGTCGTGCGTCATGTCCATCCATGCGGTGGCCTGGCACATGTGGTCCTGACCATGCCGCATTGCCCAGGTGTGTGTTGCGGAGCACGGCGCTGGGCCTGGGCTGCTGTGGGAACTTGCCGGCTGGTGGCTTTGCTCTGTCTGTTGCAGCTGCTGCGCTGTTTCTGAAACAGGAAGCAATGGTGTCTTAACATGCTCATGTTTCCTGTTCCCCTACCCCAGGGGCTGGCTGCATTACCACTTGGTTAGCTAAGCCTGGCTGTGGAGAGCTGCTTGGATTGCTCTGAAGCTTCGCTTGGAAAAATATGCTTGCAAAGAGGGGAAGTACCTGCCGTTGTGCTGTTTCATGCTGGAGATGCATTTGGGACTTGGCAGTTGACCGATTGGATCCTGCCAGAGAGCCCTGACCCCTTCCCTTCCCTGCTCCAGCTTTTCTTGCACTCAGCTTGGGTGAGCTGAGTTGGACCGGTCCCACCTCCACTGCACACAGTTCTTTCACAGTGGGGCTTATTTCGCATTTGCTACAGCCTGTTCCCCAGGGACTGAAGCTGGGTCTCAGCCAAAGTACTGGTGGACAAGCCTTGCACCAAGCACCTGACTGAAACTGTTTGAAATGGCCTCTAGTGCAGCTCTGGATGTCAGGAGGCCATCTCCAGAGCCTCTGCGAGATGCTGTGTTTGCAGCTATGTGCAGTTTCTCAGTGTTGTTACCTGGCCTCAGACAGAAGCAAGCAGAACAACAGCACCTGGCGCTTCCCCAGGTCTCAACAGGTTCAGATCCATGTATGAGCTTTGTCCAGGCCCCCCGGGTCCACGTGCCATATGTATGTTCTGCAGCGAGGGAATGGGAAACCAAGAGAGGTGTGAGTCATCTCGCCCAGGGCAGAGAGGGCTTTGGTGCAGAGCCAGAATTAGTGCTTTGGTGGGTCAGATGCCCTGCTGGAGGCAATGGAGAGATGCTGAAATTGGGCCAGGGCAGGGGCGCAGGGGACTTCGGCGCCAGCCGTCACATTGCTCCAGGATAGCAGTCTCTTCCCTCTTGCATGTGTGTGGCACGAGCGGACCCCTGTCCCATAGCTACATGTAGTGTGTGGCAAATACTGAGGAAGCTGGATGCAGTTGGCAGTGCCGCTGGAGCAAGCGGAGTGAAGGTGAGGGCTGCAGGCAAGACCCCGGCTGGCTGAGCAGACTCTGTGCGAGGCAGGTGAACTCCCGAGCCTGGGGGAACAAGGGCAGTTTCCTTGCTGAGCAGAAGGCTGCCAGTCAGCCCTGTGTAGCATGGCATAAAACACACCTCCAATGGAAACGCCCGCGCGTAGGGCAGTGGGAGTGAGGCCGCCTGGATTTGGTCCCAGTTGAAGATGACTCTTGATGACCCAGTTTCACCAGTGCTGCTCTGGAGAGGCATCTCTGGGCGGGCAGTGCCTGGGTGGCTTAGCGGCTCCGCCCTGGCCTCGTGCTGTGCCATGGAGGTGAACACATGGTTGCACCGGGAAGGGCAGGCTGTGATCACTTGGGGATGGTTGTACCATACCCACCATGCATCTTGGTGCAAGGAGGAAGGGTCCTTGCACGTTCCCCTGGGAAGGGCAGCTGGGTGGGGCGAGGGAGACCCCCCACGTAGGGGTTGAGCCATTAGTGACATGAAGAGGCGTACTCAGAACAGGAACCAGCAGAGGCACAGACGCATCCCTGACCGCTGGGCACTTGCAGGCAGTGAAGCGCCCCAGAACCAGCAAGGCTTCTGGCAGAGCTCTGTGCCCCTTTGTGCCGCACTCCTTTTCCAGGCACTGGTGTTGCCTGCAGCCCCTCCAGCCTCCTCCTGGCTGTCAGTGTCAAAGCATTTGGGACATGCCTGGGACGCGGAGCTGGGAGCCAGTAGCCGCCTTGCACGGGCCCAGCAGCATCAGCATCCATGTGCCGCAGCATAGCTTTGTTAGGCTGACGAAAGCTGTTCATGACGTGTGGCAGTAATGGGAGCAAAGGCAATGAAAGGAGTGAGTGGTGCGCATTCCCTGCACTGCAGAGGCGAGTTGCAGACTCATGTGAGGTGATGCCTAATTATCCACCTGCTCTGCTGTCTCTGCACCCGCTGCTCCTGCCCGTGGCCTGGGAGGGGGCCGCGCCCTGATACAGGGAGTCTCGCCCCTTGGCTTTGAAAGGGATGCTGCGGCTGCTGCTGCTGCTGTGTTTAAGCAGGAGGGTGGAAAGAACGGTGTCCCAGATTCAGGCTGGAAACCTGCCTGGGCCCTTCCACTCCTTGGGAAAGGTGTGGTGCATGGCTAGATGTGTCTCAACCACCTCTTCCTTTTATAGGTACCAAAGGGGGGGAACTCGCCCCCTGCCACAGAGATTACCAAGCCCCCCGTTGTTCTCCAGGCCCAGGAGAAGAAACCGCAGGTGGCCTACAAGACTGAGATTATTGGAGGGGTGGTTGTGCACACCCCCATCTCCAACAACCAGGTGAACTGGGCGTGTTTGCGTGGCACTGGGAGAGGGTAGCTGGGGCCTTGCAGAAATCCCGCACGCATTGTGGCGCGGTTGGAGACTGGTCAGGGGCATGCAGTGCCGCTGTAGTGTGCCCTGCTTCAAGAGGGGAGCAGGACCCATCTGCATAGGTCGCTTCCACGGGGGCTTGTTGCCTCTTGCAGTCTCGGGAATGGCAGGTAACTGCGGCAGGAGATGAGGCCGTGCCCAGCAGCATGCTCCCTGGTCCGCGTGCACGGGAATGAAATTCCTGTTGCTCTCTGGGCTTCTGCACCCCAGCTTGGTGGAGGTTCCCCTCTGTACTCGTGGGCCTGTCCGGGCCCTGACCTGTGCCCTGAATGGGTGTGATTAGCATCTTGGAGGGACTGGCAGGGTGAGATGCAGGGGTCAGGCTGCTTGGCCAGGCAGGGCACAGGTGAGCAGGGAGTGCGGATTCCCCCTTGTGGATGCTGCGGCCAGAGGGAAGCCTGGCAATGCTGGGACCTGGCCAGGAAACATGGCCTTTTCTGTGGGATAGGCAGCTTCCACCCAGCCTCTTGCTTTCTGAAACCACTGCAGCAAACTCAGCAGCTCAGCGCTGGTCTGTGGCTGTTGTGCACCGCAGCAGGCCCAGCCCCCTGCTTCTACCAGGGGTGGAAAACCTCAGCTGCTGCTGCTTGGAAGTGCCTTTCTGAGCCCTGAGGGTCCCAAGCAGCTCGGCGAGCGGAGGAGCAGCTCGGAATGCCCACATAACCCAGGTGTTCAGGCATGCCACCTCGTAACCCACTTCACATGTTACAGCAGTGCAGCCTGTGGGCAGACCCACTGCTGCTAATGTCCCGCAGGGGCTGCAGACCTCCTGCCAGGGCAGGCCCAGGGGGATCTGTGCAGCCAGCCCAGAGGCTGACAAGGCTGGACTCTGCCCCAAGGGATTGGGCACTTGCAGAAAGCCCCTTCCCTCTTCGAAAGGGCCTGATGTGCCTATCCTGAGCCTGTTCCATGGAGAGAGGTGGGTCTCCAAGCTTGCTGGGACTTCACCTGTCTCAGCACCTGGACCCTGGGGTGTAGGCAGCGCTCGGGGGACACAGCCAGCTCTGAGACCTGTCCTTCCCTCTGCTTGCAGCATGTTGTGCATGTGCCCTGGCATGCTCTGGGACCAATTAATAATGTTATGTGGCTTGAATTGGGTGCGAGTCCTTGCAGGGTGCCAGTTGTGCCAGCTTTCAGGGCAGTGTCAGAGCATGGTGGTAGATGGGGGTGGCACTTCCAGCCCTGGAGGGTGACTGCCAGGGGAGGCTGCTGTGTGCGGTTGCCTCTTTCCAGCGCAGTGCCTGACATCCTTGCTGGGTGTGTCTCAGACTGCAGTTGCCTTGACATTTAGGTGTTAGCTCTGGGTGAGAGGCAAGGAGGCCGTCAGCCTTCCTGGAAGTTAGCTGTGTCTGGGGACAGGCCATTGGCTTGCCGCCACTATGGGTGAAGAGAGTTTGCACTTTCAGTTCAGGAAATCAAGTCTGGGCCTGCGAAACCTTCCGACTGGGGTTAAAAATAGCTGCAGCCAGCTGCACGTGGCACTGCTTGGAGGGTGAGGGGCTCTGCTTCAGGTGCCAGGAGACTCCAGGGGCTGAGGAAGTGCATGCAGATCTGCCAGCTGCTGCAGCCTTCTTGCCCCAGGCTGCAGCCCCTACCACTGCCAGGCCCACCCCAGCTGAGCTGGGTTGCCCTGGGCTGGGGCTCCCTGCTGCAGCGGCATGATATTTGGCGGGGATGCACATGTGCAACCATTGGCACTTCCCTTTCTGGTGTCCTGAGAACCTGCCGCGGGGCAAATTCCAGCCGCTCGCTGTCTCAGACTAAAAATAGCATGCAGAAATAGGGCGTTGCAGTGTTCTCCTTGGCAGGTGTTTGCCCTTCCCTGGCTTGACGTGCATAGCGCCCAGGGACTGCATGGCTGGGGCACATCCTGGTCCAGCTCATCTGGTGTCCTGTCTCCAGCACCAGTGGCTGTCAGGGAGGTGGTGCTGTAGACCTTGCTGTGGGCAAGCTGCTTGCGCAAGGAGTTTCTCCCTGACACCTGTGTGCTGCAGGCTGGCTGAGTCCCCAAACCAGGCCCCGGGGAGGGCCGGCTGCCTTGGAGACGGTGGGGTGAAGGTGCTGGAGAAGCACTGAATGCTGGGCCTGCTTTCTGCGTGGGCTTTAGTGCGGGTGTCTCGTTCCCTCCGTCTCCGAGGGCACAGACCCTCTCACCCCAGGCCTCTGCAGCCAGAAAGAAGCTAGTGAGTAGTATGGTGCGAATGGCTGACCTGGTCTGAGCTGGGCAGGTGCTTCCCCAGTACTGGAGTCAGTGCCAACCTGAGAACGAGGGTCTCCCACCGCTCTCCCTGGCTGGGCATGCTCGTTAGCTGGCACCACTTCCCCTCTTGTGCCTGGGGCACCCCAGGGTGAACCTGGGCGCTAGTGGTGCATGTGTCTGTGCGGGGGCAGGCCTGCACATGCCTGGCGGTAGGTTTGGCCATTGTCCAAACTGTGGGCCTGGCAAGAGCTGCCCAGCAGGCAGCAGAGCGGCTGAACTCATGCCTCCATTCCTGATTGCGCTTTGCCTTCTGGCCCTGCCTGACTATGCCTGGGATTTGGTCTCTTCCTCCTGTGCTTTTTCTGTGGGTCTTTCTGCAGGCGTTGGGCAGCCCCGTGGTGAAACCCTGACGCCCACTAGGAAAGACCCGAGCCTGCCTCCTGGCTCTGCTTTCCTTGGTTCCTTCTTTCGTCCCTGGGGCCACTGACCAGCTGTTTCCCGTCCGCCAGTGCTGACCTGCAGCTGCACCAGGGCGTGCACAGGAGTCTGCTGTCTTGGCAGGCAGGGCAGCAGAGCTGGGCTTATATGGGCATGTTGGGTACCGGCCCTTTGTCAGCTGGGAGCTGGGCTCTTTGCCTCCCAAAAGCAAGCAAGCAGTGGCACAACTGGCATGTGGCCATGGGGTCTCTGTGCAGTGCGTAAATGTGGCTCAGGGGACAGGCTTCTGCTTCACTGGAAGTCTCTGTAGGCTGCAAGCAGTGCCACGGAGGTGCAAGCCATGTGGGCGGCCACCGCATTGGCCCGGTCAGCCTCGGCGCAGTGGGGGAGGTGTTTTTGGATGTGGAAAAATCAAGGTCCCATCTGGAGGAGGCGCGAAGGTGCAGAGCAGAGGGCGCGCAGCGGCAGGGGCAAGGGCTGGTTAACCACACCGGTAGTCTTTGCGAGCGCGAATGCCTTATAAGGAGAGCTTGAGCCCTGGGAGCGGATGGGCAGGAGCCAGGGGCGGCTGCTGTGACAGTTCGCAAACCTCAGGCCAGGCGCTGCCACATGGGGGGAAGAGCCAGGCACGAGCGATCGGCAGGCAGCTCGTCTCCACCTCTGTTGCTGAGGCAGAACGAGAGCAGGGCTGTGCCGGGCTGCGTGCGGGGAAGGTGCTGTTGAGCTCTGGCAGCAGATGACGGAGCAGGTTGCCTGGCCAGTTCAGCCGTGTCTCCCCGCAGCCTGTCGGGGTCCCTCTGGCCACCTCTTTGCCCATCAGGGGGAGGAGCGCTGCGCCGTGTACTTGCCCCAGTGCCCTGCAGCCAGCTGGGCACTCCTGGCCTGCTGTGGGCCGCAAGGACCCTGTAGGTGGGCATGAGGGCTTGTCCTGAGTCAGGCCTGGGGGCTGTGAGCCCGAGCCAGGCTCTTGTCACACACCTGCCAAACAGGTCCCTGGGGAGGCTGCTAGACTGAGCTCCATGGAGACCGGCCCTTCCTGCCCAGCCCAGAGTGCAACCTGGCTTGGGGGAGCTGGGTGGGAGCCTGCTCTGGGCAGCAGTGCGGGCAGCGAGCGGCTCCCCTTGCCAGTGGGTGCCCCACGCATGGGGCAGGTTTGCAACTGACCCTGTCCTTTCTTCCGGCTCAGAATGGAGGGGACGGAGCTGAGGGCAGCGACCCGGCCGGGCATCATCTTCTGAAACGCTCCCAGAGCTACATTCCCCCCTCCGGCGCCAAGCCGTCCACGGGGCCCCCAGCTCTCAAGAGTGGCTACTGCGTGAAGCAGGGGAATGTGGTGAGTGCCCTCTCTGTCCTGCCAGCTCCCTGGGGTGCAGACGCAGGTACTGTCGCTCTCTGCTAAGCGCTCTCTGCCCTGCCCCAAGGGAGGCGTCTGCCCCGCTGTGCCCTTGTACCACCCCGCGAGCTTCTGCTCAGGAGTGGCCCAGTGGGGCCAGAGCATTGTGGAGCCTGCCTGCTCCCTCGTGCAGCCAGCCCAGGGTCGCACCCTTGCTCTGTCGGGGGAAGGCCCAATCCCAGGTGCTCAAGACCCGCTTGTATCCCGGAGCGCAGAGGGAGGTGGCTGGATGCCCGTGGCCGAGGCATCAAGGCCTGTCCCCTCCTTTTTCCAGAGGAAGAGCTGGAAGCGCCGGTACTTTGTCCTGGATGAGTTTTCCATCAGCTACTTCAAGTGTGAGCAGGTAAGCAGCCCCCCCGGCTCCCGTCCAGATCCACTACCACTTGAACATCATGCAAGTGGGTGAAGCCCCTGGGGAGGCCACAGCCAAGAAGAGGCCTGAGTGCTTCCAGGACCTGGGGCAGGTGCTTCAGCCTGTGGGTAGGCCTGGTCCCGCAGGTGCTGGTGGCTGGGGGAGGTGGGATGGAGCAGCCCTTAGGGACATGGGGATGGGTGGGTACTTTCTCCCGTGCCCTCTCCCAGAGCTGCGGCGAGGGAGGCTCCCTGGGCAATGGCCCCATGCACACGCCGCTGGGAGCTTGGGCCCCATGGAGGCTCTGGTGCTGCTGCAGCGCCAGACCCGTTCACTCCCCCTCTCTGGCCTCCCCAGGACAAGGAGCCCGTGCGTTCGATCCTGCTGAAGGATGTCCTCAAGACTCGCGAGTGCCTGGTCAAGTCGGGGTAAGGCTGTGTTCTCTTCTGCTAGACAGGGCTTTGTCGGGGACTTTGCATGAAACTACCCACCAGTAAATGGGCTGGAGGGATGCGCCATGCTGTGCCCTGCTCCTAGGAGAGCAACAGTGTCCCACTGCCCCAAACGCCCCCCACGTAGCATCCCAGAGATGAGGCATGGCCCTTGGCTTCCTGTCCTGAGCCACTCTTTCTGCGTGCCATGGCAGAGACACCTCATGCCAGTGCAGCTGGGGGTGCGCAGGCAGAAGAGTGGGTGGAGAAGGGCACTGGGTGGGGATGCAGGCTCTGCCACAGGTTGCCTGTGTGACCGGGGGAAGTCCCTTTACCCCCTGCATCAGTTCTCCCTTTGTAAATCAGGATGGACATATGTTGCTGCCTTTGGGGACCCAATAAGTATGTGACGTGGCTCCAGGTATTGATGTGTGCCTGGTCCGCTGCTCTGGCATCCTCCTGAGCGTGAGCACCCTGCGGATGCAAGCTGTTCTACCTACAGGAGCCCTGGGGGCTGCGAGGGTCTGGGACACTGCCCTTTCCCCAGCTGGGAATGCATCGTGTGCCCACCGCCAGGCTGTGGCTGCTTCCACATGCGTTTCTCTTGGTCCGTACAAACTTCTCGAGCATTTTGCCAGGCAGACCTGTTGGGAAGCCATTCCTGGGGCAAGGCATCCAGCCAGCAGCAGCACTGTGTGTGGCTGGGAGCTGGTGGAGGGTCAGGTTTCCCCATCGCTACCTGCTTCTCCTCCACTTGCACGTTCCCTGCTCAGGGCCAGAGCCTTCCTTCCTGGTTTGAGTTGCGCTGCCTCTCGCTGGAATTCCCCACTTGTCATGTTCATGGCATCCCCCAAGTCACGGGATTTCTCGCTTGTCCCCTGCGGTTCCCAGGGCTGATTTGTGGTTGGGACCTTTCCAGTGGCAGGGGTGTCTTTCCAGCAGTCACTTGCTCAGGCTTCCCCTCTGTGTGTTTTTTCAGCCCAGACCTGGGTGCAGGCGCAGGACGGGAGACCCAGCCTGGGTCTTAGACTCCCTGTCTTGCCAAGGGGGTTGGGTAGATGAAAACTGTGCTCAGCACAGATGGAGAGAAGCAGCTCAGCATGCCCAGAAGGAGCCAGCAGGGAGTGTGAGCTGTGCCCAGGTGCATGGATGCGAGCACTGCAGAGGTGCAGCCCACGCTAAGCAGAAGCACAGTGTGAAGATGCCTGCAGGACAGGCTGCCGTCCACTCCCGCAGTGGAGTGAGTGGCTGCTGAAGGTGGAAGATGAGGCAGGTGATGCAGTGGTGGAAAATGAGAGCAGGACACTTCTCCCCTTCTGCCTCTGGGGGAACAGGGGTTGGCTGGCCTCTGACCCCTGCCTGCCCAGCCCTGGGGGCTGAGAGAAGCATGCCTGAGAGAGTGCAGGGCCAGGCTGCATGAGCGCCTCCTGCACTAGTGTGTAGAGGATGCAGTGAGCAGAGGCTGGGCTGCTGGTTTGGCTTTTCCTGCGTTGGCCTGAGAAGCATGTGCTTTGCCCTTTCCTAAAGTCAGCATGATCCTGGGTTTCCATCAGGAGAGAGCGCTGCTGGAGAAGGACTGTACTGGTGCTGGGCACCACAGAGCAGCCTCTACCCCTCATGGGCTGGAGCGGCTGCCCCGAAAGCCCAGCGGTGCGTGGAGCTCTGTGTTCTGGGCCAGGGCGAGTCACTTGGGCCTCCTGTCCCCTCTCTCAGCCCCCGTGGCCCAGTTCCTGGCATGGACCCCATCTGTGATCCCTGAACAAGATGGGGCTTTGCAGCCCAGCTGGCTCAGGCCCTGGGCTAGTGCCAATGCCAGCAGGCCTCCCCAGGGCTGAGGTATACCCTCCCCCAGGCTGGTGTGGCCCCAGAGTGGACTGTGGTTCAGGGACAGGGTTGTGGAAGCCAAGAGACACAGATGCTTGGCAGGAACCAACAGAAACCATTGCCTTTGTGGGCGGCATCGGGAATGCAGACACAGAGGGAAAGCACCCACTGAGCTTCCCGGCTCAGACTTATTGTGGGGGTCACGAGGTCTGGCCCTGGGTCAGAGCCCCATCAGCAGCCCAGGCCCCCTGTGCATGGCTTCTGCAAGCCAGGGAGTCTCTCTCTCCCCCTTCCATGCCAGGTCCCTCTGGTACAACAGAAACCCTTGCTGCAAAAGCAGGCAGCCTCTTCCTCTCTCCTGCCCCAGCTTCCTGTGTGTGTGGGGCCCTCTTCCCAGTTCCTCCAGAGTCTCTTGAGCTTTTTTAGCCTAAGGACACTTGATCTTGGTTCTGCTTTGGGGGAAAGTCCAGTCCCTCAAGCTCTGCTGCCTTCAGGGAGGTTGGGCAGAGCTGGCTGCCCCTAGCATGCTGTCCTCCCCGCGTCCCCCCATATGCCATCTATTCAGGTGCTTAACAGTCGGCGATTCATAGGTGGGCTGTTCCCATTCTTCTCTGCCGAAGTAGCATGAGGCAGTACACAGGCCAGGGCTGGTGTGAGACCTGGGGGTGAAGGTGGCAAAATCAACCTGGTGTGAAGAAGCTGGCCACGGATTCCCCGAGGAACTGGCTGCACGTGCATTGAAGCTCAGACCAGACACAAATGAGGGCGTGCATTTGTGAATAGTGCCCCAAATAGCAGGCACGATGCTGCTGTGACCCCAGGTCATACAGATCCTTGCAGCTGAGAATATCAGAGCTTTCATTAACCAAATGCTTCCCAGCCCAACATGAAAATTGCTTGAGTGACCGAGAATCATGTCAGACTTTACAGTACTCCCATGCCGAAAGGACTTAATGAGTAAGAGCAGGTCTGCGCGTTATCAGCATGAGTAGGACATGTAAGCATGTTGGTGGGTGTTTGAAGGTCGTAAACTGGGATTATAAACAGCCTCCTGATTAGCCACTTGTTTAAAAATCCAGGTATGGATTTATTAATCCATTATAATGTTGTCCTTTTTTTTAATGGAGCCCTAATGCAGAGCAGGACTGGGAATGAATTGTCTTTTGGGCAGCAGCGTGTGTGTGTCTGTACGAGGGCTACGGGAATTACAGTGTGCGTGTAACTGAAGCTGGGTGATGTCTCATGCAGAACGGGAGTCTCGCACTCTTCAAATTAATACTGATTAGATCTGAGGTCTGCCTTGAATATTCCTTGGCCAGTGGTTTCTTCATATGGGCAGGGAAAAGAAGTGGTCCTGTAGGCTACTGGGTGAATTGTGGATGACCGCTCTCTCTTGTCCTAGGGACCTTCTAATGCGGGACAACCTCTTTGAGATCGCAACAAGCAACAGGACGTTCTACATCCAGGTAAGAGGGCAAAGGAAGGGGACTTGAATGCACAATGTCACTGGGAATGAACTCCTGGTAGGGGCCACCGTTTGCATCAAGTCATCTTCTCTAGGCCACAAATTTAGTTTTTGACAGTTGGTGTGAGTCACGTTCATCTAAATAGGGTGTTCCTCAGGAGCCTCTCAAGCAGAGCATGTGAGCAGGTGAGCCTGCGTGCAGCCCGCCCAGCCTCGTGCTCTTGGGGGTAGGAGGTGGAAAGAACAGCCGGGCAGTTTCACTTCTCCAATTCAGCTTATTTATAATTGCAGCTATTTGTTTGGACAGGAGAAGGCACATAGAGATGATCCCCCTTCCCCCAGTGGTGACAGGGGGATGCAGAGCGCACAGTGACAGTCACGCTCCACATTTCTTGTCCTGAACCGTGCTGCCAGCGTTCCTGCCCCCTGCAGCTGCTTGGGGCTGTCAGTCCCTCCCAGACCCAGTGGTAGCAAACTGAGGGGGGAGAGTGAGGCCAGGCAGGCCTAGACCAGTCGCTTGCTACTAGTTTTGCAGGGCAAATAAGTTTAAAACAAAACAAAAAAAAAGGATGCTGATGAGTTAGCTGGGGTCTGGTTGCAGTGACATGACTTCCCATCTCCAGAGCAGTGTGCAGAGACTCAGATGAGGCCATCCTTAAGTTCTCAGCTGATGCCTTTGCAGCCCGAGAGGCTGTTGGCCAGATCCGTCATTGTCCTGTGCCTTGTGCAGCTGCTTACACTTGTGCAGAGTGCTGCCCTGCTGGCTGGGTGGTTTGCCACGGTGTCCCTGTCTAGAGGAAGCACCTGGGAAGCATCTATGCATTGAATCCATTTGGCAGGGGAATTGCAAAATGGAGAGTGATGGCAGCTAACTGATGGACAGGGAGTTTCAGGTGGTGGGGGGCTCTTGTAACACGGCCCATGCAAAGCAGTGACAGCTGCACTCCCCACCAGACAGTTCCTGCCATCCTTCGTTGCACTGCAGCAGTCCCCAGTGAGCCGCAAGCCTGGAGCACAAGCTAACAGCACCTGTCGATTCCACCTAGAGCCCCTCCTCTGTGGATGGGACTCCACACTCAGCCAGGCAGGGCAGGCAGCTCTCTTGCAAAGAAACATACTCCCCAGCTAGTTTTCACTGGATGGCCTCTCGTGCCATGTGGGGCGGTAGGGGATTTGTGAGACCAAGAGGCAATCGTCCATGGAGCTTGCCAAGCAGAGGCGTAGGCTTCTCCTGAGCCTGCTTCTCACTGCACGAATCGCTTGGAAGACTGGGAAAGCTGAGCAATTCGGCCACATAGGCCAGACCCACCCTCTCTGGCCTTGTTCACGTGGGGAGCTGGCACAGCTCAGCTGCCAGCCCTGTAGTCCACCCACTGCGCTGTGGAAGCAGAGGCATGATGCTGAAGTAAAAGCCACGTTGATTCTGGAAGAGTGTCTGCCCGAGCGCTATTGCAGAATAACTGTGTGTGTGGTCAGCCAGTACCGGAGAAATTGTGCCGATCAGGTTCTTCATGTGAGCAATGTCAGGGGTGCAGAAAGAAGCTGCTGGTGGGAGCTCTCCAAACGGCTTGCTGCCATAGCTTGTGGCTGCCTGGATCAGAGCAGAGGGGAGTATAAAAGGGAGGTCTCAAGCCCCAGCATCCCGAGATAGACTGTGGTGAAGCAGGTGCTCTCCGTGGCTTGTTGCTCAGCCTTTCCAGCATGCGTGAGCTGCATTTTCCATCCTGGGCTTCTGCATGCATGCTGGTGTCCAAATCCCGTCTGCATCCTGCTGCAGCCGCAGCTGTGCTGGCACCTGATGGTCTGGGTCTGGGCCTGCACAGCTCCTGCCTGCCTGGGCCTGGCACTCTGTAGTGCCATGGGCTTGGGATGAGTCACGTCCCTGGAAAGAGTGCAGGCTGCTCTCAGGCCCTGCTAGGACCCATGCCAGCACAGTGCTGGGCGGGGGCTTTTTGCAGCCCCAGAGTGCAGCGTGCATTTGGGGCTGGGAAGCTGCTGGACTGCTGAGCCTCTCCTCCGGATGGCAGCCTTGGACTGCGCTTGTGTGCGGGTTCTGGACTGCTCTGGTAGGGCTGCATCCACGTGTTTCCAGACAGCAGCCAAGTGCCTGCTACCTCCACGGCTCTGGCCAGTCCCCTGCAGCAGGTACTGAGGCTTCTGGGGTCAGTAGTGCCACGCCATACAGGTCTCTCCCTTGTGCTGGAGGGGACTTGCTGCCATCCAGTGGTACAGAAAGAAACAGCCTAGGAGCAGCTGACATCCTGGAGCCAGCTTGGAGCCAGTTTTCCTCTGGGCTCAGGGATTGTTCAAGTAGCTTCTGCCTCCTACTAGAGCAGGCTCATTGTGTTGGGGGGCAGCACCTCACCTGCCAGGGAGTGCCTGGGTTGGGGCTGGGGATGTGCTGCTTGGTATGCATAGCTGAGAGACAGGCATGCAGGGACTAGCTGACCCCCAGGGTGCAGTGATGCTTCATTGAATGTAGGACCTCTGGTAGTGTCCGTGACAGTCCCGAAATGATATAAGAGGCAAGCATTTCATAGGGTGATCTCTTATTGGGCCATTTCTGTAGTAAATTTGAGTCCTGTCTGATGGTCGGGAGGGATAAAAATGATCCATGGTACAGAAACGGGCTGCCATGTGGGGTCACGGGGTGCATGACCACATTAAAACCCTCCGTCTGCGGTGAGTGTCGGTGTCCAGATCCCCCCGCCGACCTTTCCGTTGGATGCAATGGAGCTGTGCTCAGCGACTTATGAAATGCAAGCAGAGGTCTCATTTCTGGCTGCCATGTTTTGCAGGCAGACAGCCCCGAGGACATGCATAGCTGGATTAAAGCCATCTCAGGGGCCCAGCAGTCCCTGAAGATCCGCCCCAGGGTAAGTCATACCTTTTTTGCTTTGCATGTAGTGTCAATTCAGGAGAGATGGCTTTTGAGCTGATGTGATTTATAGAGCAGCTCATGCAAATGTTCAGAAAATTAGCTTCTTTCCTGAATGTGGCTTTGGTGCCTCTGCAAGTGTCTGTCTCTCATCCGGAGAAGGGGTGTAGAATGCAAGTAGCATTAGATGCCCTTGCGTGGTGGGATGGGGAGCTCCACTCTTCTCCCAGCTGCCTGGGCAGAAGAGTCCACAAGAGCAAAGGGCATAACTTATTTCATGTCCTTTTCACTGCTTCAAAGCCGCAGGCCTGTAAAGAGCATACGTCCCGTTCTCAGGGGGCTCGAGGGCAGCGTCCAGAAGAACTAAAACTCCTTTGTGTCTTGGCAGGAAATGTCCTTCGTGAGATCCATTTCCATGAATAGATACGGGGGCTCCAATCATTCCAGCTCCTCGACTGCCTCCCTTTCCCAGCAGAGGCAGCAAGGCGAGGAGAGGAGAGCCCTCTGCAAAACCCCTTCCACATCCTCCTGGCAGCCTTGGACGCCAGTGCCACAGCCAGAAGGGAAGCAGCCCACGATAGAAGAGGCGCCTGGGCAGCTGAGAGACTCAGTGTTTGTGCCGGCGTTTACTGAGTGTGACGCGAGCACCAGGCAAGGGAAGCGTGTGAGGCACAGGTCTGAACCCCAGCACCTCAAAGAGAAGCCATTTACCTTCAACCTGGACGATGAGAACATCCGGACCTCCGACGTGTAACCACGCATGGTGTGAAGCTGGTGCACCGCGCCCCTGTCCTACCCGGCGTTTGGAAAAGATGAGGCGCTCTCGGTACAAGTTCAGTGCAAAGACACTTTGCTTCCCCTGCAGCCATGCGGGGCAGCCTCAGTGGTGCAGTGCCCCTTGGCGTGTGTAACCTTGCCCTGCTGTGCACTCAAAAAGCATGCAAAAAATGCGTGCACCCAAAATGCATCCAAGGCTGGTGGAAAGAGCCAGTCTCCTTGGTGCCAGTGCTGGTTGCCGTGTCCAGAGCACCGGGCCACTTCTGTCCCTGGTTCCATGCTGCTGGGTTCACCCTGATGATTTTGGCCTTTATTCTCCAACTTTATTATCAGTCTCTTGTAGGCTGTACATGGGAGAGGAACAGGAAGAAAGCCCTGGTCAGACCTGGGTCCCTCTCCATTCTAGTGCCTGCTCTCTGCCGCTGTGACGTGGGAGACCGGGCAAGACAGACATATAGTCTGACACAGGAAATGGCAATGGTTATGTTCCCGTACAAGATTTAGTCTGGCCCACTTCCTCGGTGACTGCGTTCTTCCCCAAAGGGAGGAGAGACCAGCATTCCTGATAGCTCCCATTTTCTTTCCCGCTGAAATCTCATCTTCAATGTCCCAAATTCTTTCTCTGGTCTCTTCCCCTTCATGGCAGATGTGGGGATCAAGGTAGTTGATGGAGGAAGAGAGGGGGAGCTGCTGGCAGTAACAGAAATGCCTGGTGCTCATTAGAAGGATACCAGGAGGGGTTGATACAAACCCACTTGGCAGGCACATGGCATTTCAGTCATGTGCACCTATGTCACATGGGAAGCATCAGGCCCCTGGGCTCTGCCCTAGAAGAGCAATGACACCCTCAGCAGCTCCGCCTGTTTGGATCTCAGGGAAACCATGCAGGAAGAAGAGGGGGAGGTGGCGGGGGGGTTTCCAAGCAGAAGGGGCAGGTGCTCATGTTGGTTAATAGGGGTAGGATTCTCAGGTCTCTTGAGCCATTGAGAAGCCCCACAGCGGGCCCAAACATGGAGTTTGCAAGACACCCAGCAATCTAATTTAAAAAAGGAGGAGAAGGTTGCCACTGTAACGTAGTTTTTTTCCGGGGGACCAGCTCTTTGCTCTGCTGCACTGACCACATAGTAACTCCTCTCTGCTGTCGATTCACTCCTTTTCTACTCGTTCCTCTTGCGCGCCATCAGGCTGCAGCAAAGGCTCCTTGGTCTGTACGATGTCCTGGTTGAAAAAACCAAACCGATTTCTTGGTATATTTATGTTTTTTAAAAATGTGAGGAAAGGTTAGGACCACTCTTTTGCAAGCTGTCTGGAGCAGGGACTCTGTGGCACAAATATTCTCAGGTATATATATCCAGGTTTGTATTGCGGGCACTTGGCCACAACAGACTGTTAAATGCCTGAATCTTGGAACGTTTCATGCAGTGAAAGCAGACCATGTACAAAGAAATCGGGATGATTTGGTTCTCCAACTAGGCTGTGCTAGCTGGTATTTGTAAGCAGCGTACCTCGGCAGGCACCCATAAGGGAACAAGTTGACGCATGGTGAATGCAAAGCACTTGCTAGACGATTTAGTTATTCTGTGATCAGAGAGGAACTGTGGGACGCTTTCACCAAAGAAATGGGTATGTAACCTCTTGTTTCGGCTAGCATCTAGAAACAACACCTCTTTCCTGCTTCTCTCTTCCCTGTGAGGGATCCAGTAGTGCCTCATGTTGTTGCGTGAGTTGTGAACGCTGCACAAAGCCTATGCAAAACATACCTACCCCCCTTAAACCTTGCACAGGGATGAGCTTTGCCCGGACTGAGAAGTTATACATCCTGCTTGCATGCCCGTGCCTCTGTTCTGAGCCCACTCGCTTCCCACCCTTTCTCGGACAAAACTGGCAGCAATGTCAAGGCCAGTTCTGCCCAAGTAGGAACTAGCAGGAGCGGGTGCTGTATTAAAATAAGAAACCAGCACATGCTGAGGTTGGAACGATCATGGAAAACTAAATCAAAATGAAACCAGAATAAGGAGTTCAAAGTATTGCCTATGGGAAGCTCTTGTGGATTTTTTTGTACGCTCTGGTCCTCTGTGTCTTCCACATCCCCCGCAGTGCATGGTGCTGTTGTGGGAATGGTCTTTATGTGCAAGAAGATAACCGCTAGAAGGCACCCGGCTGACTAGAGAGTGAATTCAAAAATCACTCCTGCCTGTCTTGCTCTCGTTTTGAAATTGCAGTGTGTGTTGGAGGATGTGCTGGAGAAACAGCAGCTTTAAAAGTCCTCCAGGAACATGCAGCGAAAGCCAATACATCAGCGTGACAGCCACACAACCTGAAGGCAGTTGCACCTGTTCTCTTCCTGGAAAGAGTTGGCCAGAGCATGATTTACCGGTACATTTTTGGAGAGGCAGGTACCAGGAATCTGCTCCTCCTGTGCTCTCATAAGGCAGTTCTGGTCCAGAAATAACAAAGGGAGCCTCCCAACTAGGGAAGTTCACGCCTGTTCTCGGCAGAGGCAGGAAAACAGGGCAACTATGAAAATGAACCAGGGTTGATGCAAATAGCATGGTTTTCCTGTGATGGAATTGCCGACACCTGTGGTGGGACTGCTTCTCCTTTTTGGCTTGCTTTGCCCTAGTGTTTTTGATAGCAATAGTGTTTTTTGGGCTGAGCTAACGGCCCCTTTTGAAATATTTAACAACTAATTGTAAGCATGTATGAGCTACAAATTAGCAGGGGTGAGCAATAGGAGTGCTTAGGCCAAGGGCAGTACCTACAGCTGCAGACACGGCAGGCACTTGTGCTGAATTAGTACCGCAAGGGTCTGTGGGAGCTGGGAGGGCAAAAGCCTAAGCCTGTAGCAGAGGTGTGAAGTAGTGAAGAGTGAAGCTGCTTGTGGCTGTAATGGTAATTGCAGCGCTCCCTTTTTCTCTGCTCATGGAGCAGCCCCTTGGCCAGCTCCAAAGGCCACAGACTAGTGGCATGTGAATGTAAAGCAGAGGCAGGGGTCACGGAGGCGAATCTCTGGTCGCCGTGCTGCTCTTGTGCATGCTGGGCATGCCGACTTGGGTGTGCTTCTCCGGTGTCAAGCGAATTCCCACCGCTTGGGGCGGACCCCCATCCAGATCAGCAGGGAGCCCTTGACGAGAAATAACGTACAGTAAAATGTGTGCACCCTCCTGCCTGAGCCTGGCCCTTGTATCATCTTGCTGTCATACCGCTGGGGATGAGTCACGGCCTGCGATTGTGTTTCCAGCTCCCGTGGGGATCTCTGTGCAGCGCGACAGCAGCTCGTATGAAAGGAACGGCGTGAGGGGGACGTGTTTGGGTGCGGGGGTGTTTTACATGACGACGCCAACATGGCTTCAGCTGTTTTTTGTACATAATTGCTGTGTATTTCAAGTGCCTTTAGAGACGGGGGGCGGGGGGGGTGCCTTCCCCATGGGGAGGTGCTCACACCAAAGCCTTGTGATGCTTCTGCAAGAGAGAGCCTCTGGAAGGTGTAACGGGCAGAGACTGACTAATTCTGGTACCGATTCCTCCTGTGCTCACTTGGGAAGAGCTCTCCATTTGTGGAAGAAACATGCTTCCACATGAAATGCCAGCCAGTTTTTCAGGGTAAGCTGGTGCATATCTTGAATTATTGAACATATGTCAGGACCGCACACAATGCAGAGACATGGTTTGATAGTCGCACAGGTTTATTTCCCTTCCCCTTTCCTCTCAGTCCCTGTGCAACTTATTTGAGTGGAGTTCATTGCAAATGCTAAGACTGAAATGGGATGGTGTTGAGGTTGGGGTTTTTTTGTGAGCTGCTTGTGCATTTTGTTGTGATACTGGCACCAGTAATCCTCAGCTGTGAATGGCTCTCCCGTGCACAGACTAACCGTGGTGCACAAAGCCACACTGATGCGATGCTTCTCACTACTTCTGCAGTGTGTAGTGGAAAACTTTTGTTGCTTGTTTCGTAGTAAAAATCTGTGTGAAATCTTTCCAGAAAACGTGTTGTTGGAGACTTCTTTTCCCAAGGATAACCTGTGTTAAAAAATGCCCGCCCCTTTCTAATGCCATGGCAGCTCAGCAGCCTGGCCTCTTTGTCCAGCCCGTGGCTGGCTGCAAGCATACTGTCTGCCTGCACCTGGCTCCCCGGCCTGCAGCTGCATGTGGGCCGGGGGGGAGAGGAAACCACCTTCCAGGTAAGTCCAGATCAGGGCTGGAGCTTGGCGCCCAGAGCCAGTAGCAAGATGCCGGAGCAGCTCAGCCCTTCCTACCCAATCAATGATGTGCGGGCCTGGGGATCCCTTCCTTCTGGAGCGTGTCTCCAGCACTGGCAGCTTCTGCTACTTCCTGGGGAAGGGAAGGGGATAGGTATGGACCAGCTTATCTTTGGGAGGAGATTTCTCTCCAGCTTGGGAGCCTGGAGCACCCCAACCCAAGGGAAACCAAGGGGCGCTGTGGCTGGTCCCACCCTGACTGCAAAGCAGAGGGGGATCCTTCCAAGGCTTGTGTCATGTCCAGGCTGACTGGTTTCCCTGTAGCCAGGTGGGAACAGGCTGGGTCACAGTGTGCCCCAGCTGCTCCCTAGAGCGCAGCCTGTGCCAGGGGAGCAGCTGTGAGCAGCCAGAGCTGGCTTATGCCAGCAGTAAAGTGTTTTCTTAGGCTCCAAGGTGCTGCCTGGCTTCAGGCTGGTGCCCTCCCCACCTTTCTGCTCCTCTTGTCCAGTCACAGGCCTGGCAGCCAGGCTGTGGGCAAACCGGTGTCTCACGGCCCAGCCTCACCATCCTGCCAGCAGTCGGGAAAGGTTTCTTGAGCAGCCCTGGGTTGGGGAGCAAAGGGCCCTGCGTGGAGCTGGCTTGAGGGAGCTCTTTCCAGCAGGAAGGCAGCGGCTCCTCCACCCAGACCCCTTCTGTGTGTCCTGGTCCCTGTGCACTGGCCGGGGGTTTGGTAGGGGGTTGTGGCACTCAGCCAGGCAGCCGATGTGCGGAGGGACCCATATCCCCAGAGCTGTGGGCTGGGCAGGAAGGTGCCTCCCACTGCGCTGGCCATGAGCTCTGCTGGGATGAAGCGAGCCAGGAAGCACCCTCACGATGAGCATATGGGTTGGGGCCATGGCAGTGAGAGGAGAAATGCAGGTGGGAGGGAGGTGGGTTTAACTCACGCCTGGAAACAGACGGCGCGATTCCACTTGCACAGCCTCTCACCTGCGGTCCTCTGCCAAAGGCGGCGGCAGGCGAGATGCACCCCTTAGAGACCACTGAAGAGCTAGAGCACAAGGGCTTGCTTCATCAGGGGCTGGGAGGGGACAGCAGAGGGGGGGGGGGGGGGGTGAAGTGGGGTGAGTGACTGGAAGAGAGAAGGGAGGGACAGTGCTGGGGGAAGCAAGCATGCAAAGAGCCCCTAGGACCAAAGAGGTCATGGAAACTAAGCTGTGCAGGGAGGTGAGACTCCATAGTCCCTGTTTAAACCAGACAACATAGTCCAGTCTGTGGATGATTCCTCATTCTGCAATTTCCCTTTCAAACCTGCTTTCACATTTTTCTGCCTCAGAACAGCCCCCTCCCTGGGCCAGCAACAGTGTCCAGGGACGCTGCCGCAGGCCTGTGTGTGCTCTTCTGCAGCTGGTGTTGGAGCCGTGCTCGCTCTTTCTTGCATGTAGAGACGGCCCCTTGTGTCTGACATGCACAGCAAGGGGCACGGTAAGCAAGT